GGCCATTGTCATACTTCGGTGCCGGCACTACCGAGTTAGTCTGTCATATTATCTGGTGTCTAATTTTGCACATATTTTAACTTATCCTCGAGTCTATTTACTTTTTTTTATGTACGCACACTAAACCTGCGTTTAGAATGCTGCCTCATTTTTATTTCGAAGAAGTTGCCTAGAATATCGAAAGCCCCTTTTGCTGTCCCGGAGGACTCCTACATTACAGAGGACTCCCTGCTATCATCTGCACGTCGTCAAAAATCCACAAGCGATGCCGACCGTCTAAAATCGGGAACTGAATCTACCTCCTCCTTCGAGAAGAGAGCGAAGCTTCGGAAAGCCAAGTCAACTGGTGCGGTCAAGACGAAGACGAAACGGTCGACTGTTACCGACAGCTCATCTACGCATCACATGCGTCTCAACAGCAAAGGTGAAAGTGTTGTTCATCGAGCCGCCATTAGAAACGATGTGGACCAATTGCAGACTCTTCTGTCGTCTGGCCTATCGGCTAATGTGCGAGACCACGCCGGTTGGACACCTCTTCATGAGGCTGCCTTACGTGGACATACTGAGGTAACTTTTCCTTCCATTTTTAGTGCGATCAAGTGGCGCTGAGTTGTCGCCACCACCACCACCACCACCACCACCACCACCACCACCACCACCACCACCACCACCACCACCACCACCACCTATTTCGGGTAAACAAAATTCACAAAAATTCGACTTCGAAAACACAAACCGATAGCGTAGCCTAATGCACTTTGCCTTATCCAAACACCAACCGACTGCCTAATTGTAACTCCAATGATAAACCTAGTCGGTCAAAAATCCAGACACCTAGGAGGGGAGAGAGGAGGAGTTGATCGCAGCCTCAATCGTTGCCTTGATAAAGCCCGCGTACGATAATTTTTCTTTTTCATACCAACTTTTATTTCTTCCTCTCCACTGTAGGCGGCCAGCTGTCTTCTCAGGGCTGGAGCGTCAATTGATCTTCCAGGTGGTCCGGATTTGGAGACGCCCCTACACGATGCTGTGACAAATGCGCATTTACTCTGTTGCAAACTCTT